GGGCGGGACGTCACGGCGCCGCAGTGCGCAGGCGCGGCGCCCCCAGGCGGGTCACACGGGCGGAGGCAGCCGCGCATGCGCGAGCGGGGGCGCGCGGCCTGGACGCGCCCTTCAGAGGCTGTGTAAAAGCAACAAAAAGCAACAAAAAGCAACAAAAACCAAACCCGAACCCCCCGGTGACCGCCGGACAAGGCAGTCCCAGCGCTGCCGGGGCCGTAACGCACCCACAGCGGTGCTGCCGCCGTGCAAAAAACCCCGTAAACCCTCCAAAGCCCCCCGTCAGCGCTGGCAGAGGAGCCCGCACCTCTGTGAGGGCTCAAGGGCACGAAGCTCCTTCCAGGCACAGCGCTCCGTGCATCCTTGCGCAGGGCTGGCAGGCACTGGGGCCAGCCAGCACTCCCAGTTTCCTCTTCCGTTCTCATCCTTATGCAAACCTCCCTCGCTTGGAATAACGAAAGAAGTGGGTAAAATGTCCTGCATAGCTCAGAACCAGTGCAAACAAGCTGTATTTTGTCATACTGGGTGCTTTTACGGTACAGCACATTGAGGTAACAGTCAACACAGTCCAACTTTCACATCACTTTAGGATATAAAAGATTAAGTACAATGGATTTCCACTGGATGAAGGCATGGAGGAGAAAGCTATCCTGGTGTAGGTGAAGAACCTCATCCACCTGCTGGCGCTCCTCACAGAAAGGGGCAGTGTTCCATGTCCCACGAATCAGTTTAATCCAGCCCGCCTGCCCCATCCTAAAATTAATTAGCAACGTGGAAGCACATGTCTGTCCTCTCCACAGAGCAGAGGAGGGATGGGGGCCCGGGACAAGCAGGAGCTGCAGGCCACAGCGGCAGCACCCACTGAGGAATGCAAAGATCGCTCACTGTCCACGGAACAACAGCTGCAATGGCTCTGGGATGAGGGCACTGAAAGGGACAGGGGCCACTGTGCCTGCAGCCACGCCAGCTCAGCCAGCCTAGCATGAGGTGACTGAGAACGAGTCACAGAAATCCAGTGAGTTGCATCAGGCAAACAACTAATAATTGGTTCATCATCTCGATTCCCCACCATCATGGCTGAGACAGAAGAGGAGGGGTTTTTGTTATGGCAAAAGATCCTTCTCCCAGGAGATAACTTTGGCTTTGTGACATCTGTGTAAGGCTTCTCTGCACTGCTCCCCGTGGGTGTGACAGGGACATGGCCTGCCCAGGGCACATGTGGCTGTCACCTCTCCTGTGTCAGTGTATGACCACCCCAGGGAGGCCTCTACACAGGGAACTTAAATCTAACCTCGATAAATAAAACCAAATGTTTATTTACACCAAAGAATTCCAACACTGGATCTTTCACATATGAAGGACAAAGTATATATACACAGCAAGGGGTAGCAGGGCTGTAACAAGGGTGCTTTTCCGTTGTCAATGATAATATTTGTCCACAATTACTGATCTACCATTTCAGTTTAAGTTAACGTCTCCTGGCTCCTTCCTCTCAGTGCATATTTACAAGACTGTGAGGTAACTGGTATTCTCACCACATGGCACGTGAGGGAGGGGATGGTGGGTGAAGATGTGGGATCGGACTTGGCGCAGTCTGATTTTTCCAGCTTTAAGTAGCCACCAGCTCGAAACCTATAGAAACAATTTAAAAACAATATACCCAATAACAAATTAATTCCAGAGATCCAAGCCAAGCAATGGCTGGAAGAACCCTCCACGAGAAAGGGGCTGATGAGAGCAGGGCTTACTCTACAGGAGCACCTGTCTCAGGAGGTGCCAAGGACTCCAACTGGATCAGTAACTTCATTTTTAAGACTAAAATTACATGCAAGGGGTGAGTTAGCATTCTGGTTGACTCCTAAGGAGACATTATCCAATCCAATTAGGGTTTTGGACACTATCTGCACTTACTCCTTTTAAGCTTATCCCACCTCTCCCTACTGGAATTGTCTCCTCAGTGTACCCTGGCTGGGACATAGGCAGGACACGGGGTTCACGTGAGTGGCACTTTAAGAATCCCCTCCCCTGCCTCATGAAGACTTGGTTTGGTAGTCTCTGGAGAACAGCACAATCCCCCAAGGCTTGTGGAGGAATAATGGTGGGAACATGAAGAGAAGAGATTTCCAGCAGGATGCAAGAGCTTGGAAATGCTGTTGATTCATCTTTGTTATTACATGAAGAGTTGTTTTGTTTAGTTTTTTTTTTTTTTGGGAGGGGTGGGGGAGGGGGAAAAGAAAAACTGTCCAAGAAGTATTCCATCTGTAGGTATTTTCAGGGAATCCCCTGAGTTACGAAAAGTTCAAGTAAAAAAAGAAAAAAATCAGCCTATAATAATTTTGTATATAATGACTGAACTACTATAAATCCACAAGCAACAGTTCAGACACGGTGTCTCCAAAGCGTTCATCCCCTCCCTTCCCCTGCCAGGCACGAGCTGCGTCCTGAGGAGAGGTGGAGGGGGAAACCTCTTCCCCACCTGACTCAGCTCAGGCAGCAGGAGACAGAGCCCGTCACTACTGCTGGGCGCCCGCAGCGGCTGGAACCGGCATCCCCAGCGTGGTGGTGGCAGAGATGACGGGTGAGCCTGCTAGAGGTCCAAGGGGTGAAGGTGTTGGCACTGAAGAAATCCCTGGAAGAGAGACAGGTAAGCAGGAATTAGAGTAAAAACAGCGCGCTGCTATCCAGGACAGCTTCTGAAGTCGAGTGGGAGCTTTGTGGGTCAGTTATATTTTCAGAGCTGCCAAAGTAATTAAAGAGAGAAAAGATCTGTCACTATTCTCTGCAGCTCTCGCAAGGGCACGGATTTGCACACCCCTGAGTGTCACTGATGGACAGAGATGTGGCAGGATCACAGAATGGTTTGGGTTGAAAAGGTAACCTTAAAGCTCCTCTCGCTCCAACCCCCCCACCATGGGCAGGGACACCTTCCTCTAGACCAGGTTGCCCCAAGCCCTGTTCAACCTGGCCCTTAAACAATTCCAGGGATCTGAGAGCCACAGCTTCTCTGGGCAGCCTGCGCCAGTGGACTGTCCTTCAAGCTGCTGCCAGAAAATGAACTGCAAAGAACTTAAAATGAGACCAGAAAAACAGGTCAGGCTGCCCAAGGCCTTACTTATCAGACCCTCCCACCCACTTTGCAGCTCTCCTTGCCCTTGTCCCCAATCCTGGGAGATGACCCAACACCACCCTGCCTGCTGAGCTCTCCCTCCTGGTCCTCCCACCCGCCCCGCACACAGAAATGCTCCAGCACACCAAGCCCGGGGGCGAGCTGGCAGAACTGACCTGACATCATGCTCGCACTGCTGACAGGAGTGCTGCCACCCGGCATGTTGGACGAGCCCATCCGAGCCTGGTCTTTCACAATGGGGTCTAGGAAGAGCACACTACCAGTAAGTGCTGTGCTGCCAGAGAGCTGCTGAGGCACACAAACTGCCCGTGGGCTCTGTGCTCAGCCAGGCCTGGCACTCTGCCTGTGTCAAATAACATCAACCACCATCTACTGAAATACAGACATTTCCACCAACGCCAGTGGGAAGCACTCAAGAGGGTACCAAGGTCACGTGGTATCAGGGAAAATCAGCTAAATTATGTGATTTGGGGTTCAGCAGGACTGTCTGACAGGAAAAGACAAAGGTTATTACGGCAAAGTTCATCTTTCTGTGCTAAGCAACTGTGTAATTGCAGAAAGCCAAACCCAGAATATGGGTGTAGCAAGCAGAAAGATTATCACTGATTACAATCATGGGTCATGTCTCTGTACACATCTTACCTCTCTGTGAGCTGTCAGGTGTGTCACTAGAACTTGTCATCCATGAGATGATCACAATTTACTAACTCTATTTTCAGCTGCATGTAAATATGACTCTCCCCTGAACAGGGACAACCCCTTCCTGCCTCCCAGACCTTCTGTGTCAGACAAGGGAATTCCAAACTTTGCTGAGCTCAGCACTACGTGTATCTTTTTGTGGACACAAGTTAATGAAGTGTTTGTCCAGCTCTCACATTCCAAGCTATTGGCTTCTCTAATGCTCATACCTGCAAAACATTTCCCTGGGATTTTTCCAACAGGTGTAACACAGATCAACCATCTGTTAATTACAGGGGTCCCTTCAGCAGCAGTTAAAAAAACCCCAAAACCAAACCACCTGAGCAAATATTGATATTATACATTGTTGCAGCTGCTTCAAACCCCTAGATATCACTATCTGTGAGAAACAGCAACTATTTAAAAGCATTTATTAGTGAAAGTAACATTTCTGCTTGCAAAATCAAGACCTGGATATAGCAGTAACTAAGCAATTTAGCAAGAGGAGTTAAAATGCCTGTTTATCAACAAACCAGAATTCTCTGGGTTTATCCAAACAGGGGAATCTGTGCACACCTGCAGAAAGCAGCCCCAAATGACATGATTTAGGTGACCTTCCTTGATATCACCTGCTGATTCATGGGCTTGACACAGGCACCCAACACTGATTCCTTGGCTGGTGGAGGTGGCACACAGAGAGCAGCAGCCTCAGTTCCAGCACAATTATTTGCAGAGCAGACTTATCATTGTTGCCATTCTCAGCTCCCATCTGCACAATCCATGGGAACAGAGATTTCCCAGAGGCAGAACTCTCAGGACAGCAGCTGATACTTACAGAAGTAGGGGTGTTCCATGGCTTCTCTTGCTGTGAGTCGTGACTGGTGATCGTATCGCAGCAGCTTGTCTAAGAAATCCAGAGCTTCTGGACTCACCAGATGTTGGTTCTCACTGTGGACAAAGCGCTCCCATCGCTTACGGGAGTGTCTGCAGGAAAACAGACCCAGATCAGGCCAGGCAGGGGACAGTGATGCCAAAAACCACTTTCTCAAGGAGCAAGAACTGTGACAGATGCCCAGCCCTGAGGGAGGCCACTGCTCCGTGCAGCAGTGCAGGAGTGAGACATTCCAGAACATGAAGCAGTGTCACTGTGTCTCCACGTGGTGGCACAGCAGTCACAGCCCCAGCACAGCCACCTCGGCCACCACAGCCCCTGCACGGCCCTGCCATGACCCCAGGCAGCAGCAGGACTAATGCTCAGGATGGATTACAGGCCTAAAATTGCAGGGTCTGTCATCTCTTATGCACCCAACATGAGTTCCTTTAATTTTAGACCCACTATGAGGGGGGAAAAATCCCATATAAATTCCATCTCTAGCAGCACCTGACTTTCTGCACTCTAATGCTGAGAAACACCATTTTGGTTTTTTCCCTCCAGAGTGAAGAGAGTATTTGCCCTTCATGCTTTCTGCTCCAGTAGCTCCTTTATTGCCTGAATGACATTTAAAAATCTTTCATCAGGTCCATTTCCATATAAAGGACTATGGAAAGCACTGGCAAAAAGGACCAAAGGCACAAAGTGTCAGTTCTCCAAACTACTGGCTCTGATTTCTCCCACAAATTTTTGTTCATTTCAAGGTCTGTTGACAAAGCTGTAACTGTCTGGATCTACCAAAGAGACTCCAGACCTTGGCTCACCTGCCCAAAATGTCATTGAAACGTGGATCCAGCTCAATGTTGTATTTGTCAATGTAGTCATACAGATCTTCTGTCCCCAGAACCTTGGCTATCCTCACCAGCTGGGAACAAACACAAAAACAAGTCACTGCTATGAAGGTATGATAATACCAGAGCCTGCATGAAGATATGGCAGCACATTCCCACGGGAGCTGGAACCTGATCCCAGCAGTATGAATCAGAAGCCACAAGGTCAGCCTGTGGCTCTGGCTTTCCCAGCCACACAGTCCCAGGTAACAGGAACAGGCCTCTAGTCACAGCTGGAGCTCAGTACCCCAGGGCAGCCAGGAGGGAGCCACAGACCCTAAAATCTCTAAAACCTGAGACCTCGCAACACCACCTTCCTTAATAGCATGAAAATATTCCAAACCAACAGAGGGGAAGGCAAGGATAACTGGTAAAAAAAGCAGAAACTCTGGATCTTGCATGTGAAAGGTGAAGCCCACCCCAGAGAGCTCCAGAATAAAGGTTTGAGAATACAAGGTCCCTGTTCCAGAATATTTGCATGGCAGTCACATGCTGAGCATGTGGTAAAAGTTTAAAAATAAAAATTTTGGCCCAAAGGCAACACATCAAAGATTTCAGAATCTGTATAAACCTGTACCAAATTCACAGCTTCTATACAGAGGGGGGGAAGAGTGAGTAGTGGCAGGGGGTTTCCACATAACCTCAGGAATAGTCAAACTATGTACTGGAACACATCAGACTTAATATAATTATTTCTACAGCTTTTCCCAGACACCTACTGAGGAGCTCCTAAGTACAAAGCTCTATAAATCCATTTCTATTTAATTGGTTACATAATCTTGCACACTTGAGAAAAGGAATGTGGCTTCAAACTGAGCTAAGAAGCCATTAGAGAAAGGCTTAAAAATTCTCTGGATGACTTGATAGAAGCCTGAGCAGGAAAGCTTCATGGTGCTAAGAGAACAGACATTGTACATGACCAGCTCTCACCTGATCATAGTTGTCATGGCCATGGAAAAATGGCTCCTTTCGGAATATCATACTAGCCAACATGCAACCCAAGCTCCACATATCCAGACTGTAATCATACATCTGTACAAAACCAGAAGGACAATTCAATTTCTAATGAATTAAGCAGAACAGACCTCCAAAACTAACAGGGTTCCCCCACCCCGCCAAGGTGATATGAACACAGCCATGTCATGCTGGAAACAAACTGAACTATCTTCAGGTATCTTCATCTCTAAACCACTGTTCAGCTCACTGCTCCAGTTACTCAAACTGGGATACAGCAATTAGCAGGACAGCAGGTATCCTAATTCCATCCCTGTCTGCCAGGATATTAAAGATCAGAGCCTTCTTCTATTTCCACTGCAGACTCCAATGTTGTAAACCACTGAGAAGTGTGTGATGGGAAAGGAAGCATTGGAACAAACAACAAAAGGTGTGGACTCCCCAGGGTCCATGGACAGGTGAGGATGTGCTTTTTTCCAGAACCAGCATGGTCTGAAAGTCACCAGGAACACTGTGATTTCCATAATGCAAACTGCCATCAGATAAGGGGATGCTTTTATAGCTTAATTTAGAAGTTCATGCAGTACTTGCTGTTCCCACAGGGGCTTTGTTTCATTTCTGTACCTTACTGCAAACACAGCCTTGCTAAAAAAATATTTAACATTTGTATTCCAAGATCCATAATGATAGTTCTGCAGCTCTTCCTCAGGTCCTGAGACTACTCATTTGTTTCTTTCATTCAGGGGCTTTATGGCCGTTTCTGCCATACATTTTGGAACAGACTGTCTTTAGCTTCAGCTCTCTAGACACCTGAATTCTGGGTTTATTACCTTGAAATGCCACTGACTTTCCATATCAAAGTCAGTAAGAAGTCCTGGTAACTCTTACCTGATAATCTACAAGAAGTTCAGGTCCTTTGAAATATCTGGAAGCCACTCTGACATTATACTCCTGGCCAGGGTGATAGAATTCAGCCAAACCCCAGTCTATTAGTCTGAGCTAAAAATGGTAGAAAACAAAGAAAAAAGGCTCAAGGGATGCTCCAGCTTACCATTGGCTGAATGACACTGGTGAACTTAGTATGAAGTTAATTTATAAGTCTCCCATTTTCAATTAATTTGATCAGAGTGTCTGGTTACATATTCTCCCCAAACCCATATCACCAAGCAGTCTAAATAAAATACCTCTCCTTACAGCCCTGCCTGTGGGTAACATGTGACCAAGCAAAGCCTCAAAAAGCAGCATAATATTCTCATTTTACATTTACCCACACCATGAGAGTTCCCCTCACAGAGGTCTGCTAGTACCACTAGCAGGAGTACCCAAAGGGATGGATGAATAGTTTGCCAAAGAAAAGTAGAACCCCTCCCTGCCCCCCAGCCACCCCACACTACCTTTCTGTGCTCATGGTCAATCATGACATTGTGAGGTTTGACATCTCTGTGCATGATTCCCATGCTATGGCAGTAATCTAGAGCCTGCAGGTGAAAGGAAACAAATGCTGGAGTCACAAGAATGTGTCAAGTTAACCATATTCAAAAGTATTTCCACACATAACAAGTCTAACTAGATGGCAGGACTGTCCAGTGTTAGATCCTGGACTAGACTCACTGATCACAGAAAATGCTTCTAGACCCCCCTCTCAAAGGGAGATCCCAGCTACACAAACGTCTTTAGCTTATTTCATGTGCTTCCTCATAAAAACTGGATTTTCAGAGATTCTAGAAGCATAGTTACTAGGCACTAATGATCACACAAGCCCCTTTTCTTCAGGCTCCTAAGGACAAATTACTGAGTTCAGAAGAATGGATGAAGACATTTGACTCACATTATGCCTGAGCACAAACCCAGCCAGTAACAGCTCACGGTTTTCTTTTTTCAGAGGCTACACGTACTCCTGATTTAGGATTTTAAGGTATCTCAATGTACCAAAATGCTGAAAAACAGATACTGACTTGCTATTTTTCTGCCCAATTCTTCCATGGACTCTCCTTCCCTTAGTGGTATGATGTCACTATCATCAGTGACATGAGAACCATCTCTACAGGATTAGCTGAGAGCAAATACTAGAAATAAACCACCAGAACAGCAAACACCAACTTACCTTCAAAATCTCATACATGTAGAATCGAATATCATAATCTGTTAATGTCTGGTATAATTGCTGTGGGACACAAACACATCATGTCAGTGTTCAACATCCAAACAACTCCCACTCTGGGCTGCTGGCATTCTCCAAACCCATTTGAAGTACAGTCCAAGTTTCTCAAGTTACTCTGATCAGTCTGTTCCTCCCCCTTTGCAAATCCCATACATAGTGACAGGGACCAGGATGTGCTGTCTGAGCAAAGCTGGAAGTAAACTACCTCCCTCTGGTTATATCCACCCAGCACAAGCATGATGGATGGCATTGCACAGCCTTTCTTCTTCTGAGGCAGGTCAGTATGATGGGACAAAGAAACATTTAAATCCCCATTCCCAGGAGTATGGAAGGCCACATAAACAGCCGTCCACATTTAAAGTGGTTCCAATAAATAGCTGTACACATAAAAGCCAAATGCCTCAAAAACACAGGCACTGATGGACCACAAGGTAACAGATTCATTTGCTCCCAAGGTTAATTAAGTACCTCTTGGAATCTGCATTCTCATCTTGTAACTTTTGTGGCAAAATGGTACTGATGGGCAAATTACAAAATTCTGTCCCAACTGCACTTACCTTTAAAAGCATTTCCTATCCTGGAAGGAAATACCTATCCTACATACTTTCCCTTCCCCAGAAAGACAGTATGAGTGGTTTTCAAACCCAAAAAAAAAGAGAAGTCACATCCCACACTGTACCTTAAAGTCTGTGTTGTTTACATGTTCAAAAACCAGAGCGGGTGTTCGAGACTGAAACAGAAAAAAAAGCATTCAGCCATGTTATGTTTCCACTTAGGATAATGAATTACATCGTTCCTTTTCTACTAAAACTGCACAAAATCCCTCTGCCTTGGACATATTTATGATTCCCCTCAGACAGAGAGAGCAGAGCCTAAGCCCACAGCCTCCAGCAGCACTGTTTGCAGAGCGAATTAACTTGTCTCAGCTCACTGGTATCTCTTCCTCACAGAGTGAGGGGCTGGAGGGACCTGTGGGGGAAGGGCCCTCTAAAAGAAGTTTATCAGATTAAGAGCTGATCTGATCAGTCAATTCAAAAGCAGGATTTAAGAGCAGGGGAAAACAAAAAGCCAGGTCAGAGCTGAAATCAAACAGAGCAACTTCACCCATAACCCCAGTGTACTGCCTGAGGTTCTCCCTTACTCACCACAGGATCTTTTACTATATCTGCAAGGGTGATTATATTGGGACCGCCTCGCAAGTTCTCTAAGATCTTGATTTCACGCTTGATTTTCTTCTTTTTAACAGGCTGAAGAATAAAAAACCCAAAGTGTAAGATAAAGACCTGCAGTAAAGTGAGGCTAATAGCTCAACACCCCGATGACAACACCCAGGTGACTGCAGATCAGCAAAATATATTGAAACATTTGCAATTTAACCTGAGTATGCATCACACCAGTAAAGGCTCAAATATCTGCTGTCTCCTTTCTAACCACACAACTCTGACAGCTACAGACAATAATTCCAAGTGAAGGAGAGGTTGGAAGATGGCATTTTTTTAAAAAGCTCTCTGAACATGATCTGATAGGCCAAGAGGAAATGGCCTCAAGTCATGCCAGAAAAAAATGTCTTCACAGAATGGGTTGTCAATACCTGGAACAGGCTGCTCCAGTGGTGAGGACACCATCCTTGAACTGATTTAAAAAATGTATATGTGGCACCTGGGGACATGAATGCTGGGGTGTTGGTTGGACTTGATGATCTTTGAGTGCTTTTCCAACCTGAACAGTTCTGTGATACTCCAAGATTTCTTAACTGGCATGTGGCAAATGTTTAACTATGAGAGGTCCGTGAGCTATTGGAGGGTCACTAAATGAAGGCCAAGGCTGTGACAGCCTGCCAGGACACGGGCACTTAAGAGAAGCTGAGAATTTTGAGTCAGCTGCTGAAATGTTGCTTAGTTCCAAGTAAAAAGGTGTAGCATATCAGGGCTTCTTTAAGACAGAGCCTAATTCCTTACAGGCAGAGATCTGACTTAAATGCAGGGCTTATAGATGGCCTGTTTCACTGAGTGACACTCCAAAGCCAGGCTTTAAGGATTTCAGTTTTAGAACATCAAACAGCCCTTTCTGGCCTCCTGATCACCTCAAGACAGATTTTATCTTTTGCCCAATCCCCAGCTCACCTTGAGAATTTTAACAACTACTTTTTCATTATTTGTAATGTTGATGGCTTCAAATACTTCACTGTATTTGCCTCGGCCTAATTTTCGAACTAGCTGGTAGTCATCTTGATTTCTGTGGAGAGAAAAGGTTAAGAGTTCCAAAGGGCTCACTCATTTCCATCACAATTTATCAACTGCTCCTTAACACTCAATCACTGCCTCGCTTGACAGACAAAGGGGATTAACTAGTGCCTCACCTCTCCTGAACTGGATGATTTAAGGGCTAGGAGAAAAACTGGGACCTTCTATTTGCCCAAGACAGATTCAATCCAAAATTATGGACTGAAAGCCCAACTATGTATTTCAGCATTAGCAAACCTGATCTATCCCATCTCTCTATATTTGGAAGCTCCATTTTTCCTTGTATAATGCTGGTAAAATTCAACAAAGCCAGTACAAGGAAAAATCTAAGTGCAAGGCTGTTTAAAAACAGTCTGGGCACAAAGCAGCACTCATGCTCAGACGACTGTGTACATTCCAGAAACTGGGAACTGCACAGCTGAGGGCAGAACCCTGTCTGGGCCCTCCATATCCCAGCAGGAACGCAGAGCTATGAAGCTGCCACCACTGCTGTCTGATTCTGGGACAATTTAGTCATGAGCTCAATTTAGACACCTCCTTCCTTCAAAGAGAAGCAGCCATGTCTTTTCCAGGCACTCACAGAGCAACAAGTCATAAAATAGCATGTACCTATTTAAGTCTGTGGAGCCTCTTCACTTATCCAAGTCAGCAGCAACTTCAGTTTGAAACTCTTTTCGTTTCTTTTCAGCCCTGCACTCAGGACTGATTGGATTGTTTCAGAAATAGATTTTCTTCCCTCTGAAAGGGGATGTTTTTCGACTACCTGGCAAGACTTCTTCAAACTTTTAAGAAAGCTGCTATAAATGTTCTTCCACAACTGGGAATTTAAAAGTTTGATAGGAAACATTTTTCTGAAGAGAAGTTGTAATCCTTTCCCTTGCCATCTGCCAAGAAGCACGAAAAAGCCTCCTGCAGCACAGCTGCCTGAACTCCCCAAGTACCACTACGCAGGATCCACAGGGATTGATCCTGGTGCAGGGACAACCAGAAGCAGCCCAGACTTACCCCCACTCAACAACGTGAGACTCATAGTCCCAGTACTCCCGGGGTCTGTGTGTGTTCACATCCGTGTAAACTCTGGCCCTGCTCGGCACGGGTCCCGACATATCAGACAGCTTGGCAGGCGGAAGCGCGATGTGAAATCAGAGGCGACCTGTCTGCAGTGCTGACAGAGGAGAAAGGCCTCAGATCCCTCCACCTGCAGACAGAACATAAACCAGAGGTTAAATTCTCAAGGTACTTCAAAAGTATTTAAGTTAATCATTAAAAGCTGCTGCAAAGGAGAGGCTGGAGCCTGCCCAGCCACAGGCCTGGGATTTCTTGAACGCCATTTGTCTGCTCTCCCTCACACAGGACTGGCCCCCAGCAAACCAACCTGCTGACCTGGTAATTTTCAGCACCTTGTTTCCAGCTGCTGGTTGAAGAGGTAGCTTTCCAAAAGGAAAGAATGCCATGTGCCCTGTATCTGCAGACAGATCCCCTCCTTTCAATTCCAGACTGAAAGCAACAGCCACAGGCTGCAATCTCATCCCATCACAAGTCTTGGGCCATCCAATGCAACAAAATCAATTCTGCTGGGATGGAAACCAGCTTTAGTCACAACTTCCAACAGTCAAAACATTAAATCTGACTGTCAAAAAGACAGCAGCATCTGTGTTGGATTATGATGCTTTATTCAAACATGAAAGAAATGCACTGCTGCAAGGGTCTGAATTTCTTCCTTTGCATTCTGCTTGCCCAAAGTACTTCCAATCCTTCCTCCTTCCAATGCAATTTTTGCAAAGCTTCTGGTAAGTTTTATCAGTATTGAGACTGGTCAAAACCACTCAAAAGAAAGTTACTGTAGATCAGAGACAAACACTGTACCTTTATCCTAGATGTCTGAATACTTTATCATCCAGATCTGAATATTTAGGATAGCAGTAACTCACTACAGTTTTGTATCAATATTGTCCTACCCAAGATAAATGTGGTGCCTTTGCATGTCTCAAATCATTCACAAGGGGAAGTTAATAGCCTTTTAGATGTTTAAATACAAGAATCCCCTTGTCAGCTTTCAAAATAACTTACAACAAAAGGAGCTGTATTGGAGCAGGAAAAATTATTGTGTTGGAAAGGGAGCATTGCTGGGTGTGTAGCAGCAGGTGGCAGGGCCGTGCAGCCCTGTGTATGTGCTCCAACAGTGGGCAACACTGTTATCTAAACTAATATTCTAACTTGCTATGCCAATCTTATCCCTCCACAGAAAATGGGCAACTGCCAGACTGCAGAAGGAAGTAACAGCCCCATTAATCACATATTAATGAGAAAGACCAAGAAATCTGCTCGGAGCAGGTCTCTAGTAGCTTAAGCTACTAGGAGATGTCAGAACAGAAGAAAACTCTAGAAGCAAAATCCTGCTCTACAGAGTCCTGTTGTTTATTTGAGGTCTGCAGCTCCTGTGAGGACCCAGCAAGACCCACTGGCTGTGAAGATGGCAGAGGACCTGGGGAACACAGGTCTGATGTCCTTCACCGTGTCACACAACCTGACCAGCAGCTGGTCCTGCTTCCAGAGGCAGAAGTGCCTGCAAGGGCTCTCTGACATGGACAAAGCCTCTCTGACATGGACAAAGCCTCCTTAGGTGGGACAGAGCTCAGCAATGGGATATTTTTTGACCTACTGACACACAAATGGTGTTGGTGGCAGCTTCAGGTAGACAGGGTGGAATAATCCAGTCCAAAGGATAAACAGGGACACAGCACTATCCCAAAATCCACTATGGAAGGGTGACTGAGGCCTCAGACCAATAAAAGATGAGGCACTTCAGCTGTGTGTCCAGCTAATGGAAGAATATGAAGCATTCCTCAAGATATAAGAAGTCTATTCCTGGATAAAACGCTAGTCCTCTCACAAAACACAATTTCAGAAGATGAGGCAGCAATCATCTAAGACCTCAAAGCATTTATGTGGCATGACTCAGACACTTAGAAATTAGATGTCCCCAGGCATTACTAGAGCATGCAAGTTTACTAGAACAGTTTAGTACAGTGAAATTTATTAGATTTCAACGTTCAGTCACTGTGTTTGTGTTTCTTCTCACTCCCTGTGCTTCTGGCAGGAGATGCACTGGCCCATTTCCTCTGCCCAATACTCCTTGTGAAGGAATTAACTGAACTTATACATGTCTCAGATGACTTAGCAATTTTAATTTTTAAGCACAATCCAGTATAAATAAAGCACACGTGACTGCTCCCCTCACCCAGCTTAGCAAGATCAGTTTCAGCACAAAAAAAAAAGAAAAATCAATCACATTATCTAAAGATAGATCAAATTTCACAGTGGCTATTTTTTGTCACGTAGCTCTAGCCTAGCTCAAGCAGCACATTGTAACAGGCTGCTCAGAGAAGGGCTTTTTCAGGAAATCATCAACTGCAGCTTCTAAGAATGGCACACAATGTCTATTTATGAGGGTAGGTATTATTGTCTACCATTCTTTACACAGGAAGGGGAGAGAATCTGCACAGATAACTAAATTTTAAAGCAAACACAGTTACAGACAGACACAAACTTACCCTGCCTGAAAGCTGCTCACTCTCTGCTCAAAACTGCCAAGGAATTTGTATAGATTTTTGCCTTCAGTGCCCCTGGAGGGGGATTATTTTGCAGTGGATCCAAGCTCTTTGGCAGAAGGGAATGACACAAATAAGGACAGATAATGGGGACAGGTGTTGACATGCAAGCATCAGTTGAGCCTGCAGTTTTAAAGCAGAAAAATCTACAGTATGAGCAATGACTGCACCTAGAGAACTGCCCTGAGCTTGTTATAAGAGATGAGTTCTATTTCTGCAGAATCCAAACTGAATGTTGTCATTTATTAATTCCTGCATTGATGACAAAATCATAGAATAATTTATATTGGGAGAGGTCTGCTCAACATCACCTAATCAAAGTAGATGTGGTGAGATCAGGGTCCAGTGTAGCCTTGAGCATCTCCAGAAACAACATTAAAAATTTAATTTCTCTGGTAGAGAAATCTTTAACTAGGAAACAACCATGAGCTTTTAGGCAATGTACCAGAGGTCACAAAGAGAGGAAGACAAAGCTCCCAACCACAGTCTGACATGCTGCTCACTGCCAAGGACACAGAGCAGGGCTCCTCAGTCAGCCCCTGTGGTGACACCCCTTGGAAGGTATCACCCAAAGGGGCTACATGACAGCTGCAGCAAAGGAACACCATGCCAAAGTTTCACTGCTGGCTTCTCCCACACAGGCCTGTCTTCAAAAATGCCGTTGGAGTATTGACAAACTGATAATTAGCTGATTTCTTCCACAGCAGCCTTATCAAGAGGAACCCTGCTCATCCCAGACAAGAACAGAGCCAAACACAGCTCCTGTCCTGCTGACAGACTCCAGGGGAGTACCCAGAGCCCCAGCCCAGAGACAAATAATTGTGCTGCCACCATATAGGAATGTTTTAATTGGAAGGCCTACTAATTAAAAAAGATCAGTTCTTAAAAGTTTGAATTCTCCTAACAGTAGCCTGTTGTCTGAACAGCTTGGCAAGCTGAGACATTTTGTGCCTAAAGTTCAGTAAGATAGTAAAAAGCCTCTCAATGTTCTCTTTGACTCCGATTTTTAAAACATTTTAATCTAAACCAGTTACAAACCCCCTCATTTTTAAAAAAGGATGTTATAATGCTTACAATACACTCTAATTCTAAGGGCAACCATGCCCCCCACAGAGAATTTGATATTTTGTGAAGGATCCATACTTCCAGCACCTACTCCAATTAGTACAGGAATTTCCTACACCCTCTGTCCTTCCAGATGCATGCACTTAGAGCAAGTAGCAACAAAACACAGCTAAGAAATCCAGGCAGATTCGTTTCTCTGAAACACACCTACTTTGCCTCTAGTAAAATTTGCCTTTTTTTTTTTTTTAGTCCAGAAAAACTGAAATACCAGAATGATTTTTTTTCTCCTTTTAAATGGAAATGTTCTTGGCATGGAACCTCTCTCAAGCAGTTACTCATTCAGAACTTAAAACCTCTGAAGTTGCCCCAGTATGATGCAGCACCTGCACAGGCTCCCAGTGAGCTGAGAGCCAAGAGCTTCCCGGACGACTGGTGTCCCAAGGAACTCACAAGTGCCATCCAAGAGATGACCTTTGTGGATAAGGTTTGGAGTATAAATAATGCAGCCAAGAACACAAACACCGTTTGACACTGGCTCCCCTGTGGATTGCTGTTAACAGCATGCCTTGCCCTCAGTGTGAACAGTGTATTGCCAGGGAGATCCAAGTTCATCCAGAGAGAGTGGAGTGAACCCAGAAAACCTTGTTCAACACCATATAAACCTGGTTATTCCCCATGACCCACCTGAACTCTGCTTCAGTGAGCCCACAGCAGTCCCAAAGGAGGAAAACAGGCCCTGAACTGCAGCAAGCTGAACTCGAAGAGGCAAGAAAACATTTCTGTAGCTTTATGAATTCCAGACAAGCTCACCTTCCTCTCGAGGAGAAAGCAAAGTGGACAGATCGGCCAAACAGGTCTAGAGACTTTCCTCTCACTTCTACTTTCCCCACGTAAGCTCATTACAGTGGCAATTGTGCCAGCCTAAGGCTGTAAACAGGCTGAGACAGCAGCGGGTTTGTTGGGAGAGAAGAAAAGCTCTGTCAGTGGAGAGGAGCAGAATTACAGCACAGTCTGGAATCGAAAGGTTATTCCCCTTCTTTCATCTACAACTGCAAGCAAGATGTTACCTTTCATAGCAGAAAGCTTAAACCCAGCCTCTAAAATCAGGAGTGAAAAATGTGATTTGGTAGGGTGAGCAAGAATTACAATTATCAGATAAAATGTTGATGATTTCCTTCACATAGCCCTGTAATCCTCCCAGGGAAGTGCACTTGCTCCTTCAGAGTTTGAAGAATATCTATTACTAGAGAAACACTGAAATTAAAAAATCAAGACATGCCTAAATATTACAGTACTGCCTGCTGGCAGTCAACATCAATCAACACCCAGCTTACTTTTAAAAGAAATAATAGTAATCAACACCATTAAAAATATGCTCTACCTCACAAAAGAAACCTGATTTGTGTATTCTCATGATGCTGAAACTTCAGCAATACAAGTACGGAACAAATGACCTCCAGAAGTCCCTTGCAACCTATATTTTTCTATGATTTTACAGCTAAAATAGAAACAAGCCTGGATT